AAATCGTCCGCATTGAAATTTTGCTCAATACACCATAACTCATGTTAGGACAGATTTGTTTGGGAAGCAATTTGATCTCAGTGACCGCGTAATCAGAATATTAACTATGTTTGCTGTGCGGAGTATCTCTCTGACTATACGGAATCAGTTCATAAAATCACACGCTGCCATGTCCAGAAAAAATGTTTCGTGGCGTCCATTTGGAATTCTCCTACAACGGTCTCTTGATTGCGTGTGAACAGATTTCGTTGAAAAACTCGACAATATGACAATATATAGAGCATCCGAAGTCATGCCACTTCTATCCGCAAAAGTGCCGTCAAGCCTTAAGATCAGAGCTCAAACTGCATGACAATAACGATGCAGAATGTCATGTTCACAAGTCTAACACCGACCCATGGAATTGATGCAATTTCCCAACCCTACGAAATCACGCAATATTTTTTGCCTTGGTCTGTACATACAACATTAGCTATCAGCAGCGCCTAGACAAAACGTTACTGGTATACAACATATCACCATTGCTACACGTTAGCGTCTTACGCATGGTAAACTATAGCACCTCCTATAAAATTGAACCTTGTTTCACGATCACTAGGACCGTTGCTGAGTCAGCTAGAAAATGGGTGTTGCCCGCCCGAAAACACTGCACTCTATGACGTGCCTCGATCTTATTTGATCTCATCAGATAAAGATGGCAGCCTTAGGATTAGAGTCACAACTAACATCCCAATGGTATATCTGATGAAATCAAATACCATTGTAGCACTTCATGGAGTGCTGTGTTTTCGGCGAGCAACATCTAATTTCCTTTTCATATGGCACCCCACACTTTTCCCAACAGACGATGGGCACAGAATGCCGGCGAAGCAGTTAATGCCTTGCAGCTACACTGCGCTAACTTTTAAACCTAACAACCTGTCCTTGGTATAAGCAATTGCTTACGCGTGTAAATTTCAACCCAGAAACTGAGCTAAGGAAGCTCAGTTCATTGCCTGACAGTTACCATCTAGGAGTCTATGACATTCGTTCGGAAGCTAAAACATCCCCGTCCCGGTCCTCCCAAAGATACTTTGATGAAAATCCAGTCCCCAGTATGTAAAAGCACAACATCTTCACAATATTTTGAAGGCAGTAACCGTACAGATCCCGCAAACTATCGCATACTGACTCTCCTCCCCTTGCTTCCAAAGTTGATGGAAGAGGTCAAGGATGTAGCTCTAATGTATTATATAGGAAACACAACGTATTTTCAACAAGGCTGCGGGGTTTCCATCAACAGCGACCATAAAACACAAACCTGCTTATGACATGAAATAGTTGGACGGAAGCGGCTGATGATGGGGCTGAAAGCAATGTAATCTACCTGAAAATTTCCGAAGCTTTCGACCTCCGGGATGATCGCATCCTGCTTCACAGGCTACAGAGCTATAGTATCGAGGTTCCTATTCCGGGATGGCTAAGTAGTTTTCTTCTCAAGCGGATGCTTCAGTTTCGTGTTTGATGATCACTTCCTAACCCAGTTGTGATGGAAACTAAGGTTGCACATTGTTTGATGAGGGGGCTTCACTTCTTCATGGTGTCTGTCAACAACAGCGTAATAGTTACCACATCTAATTTCCTGAATTTACAATGATATTAGCATATGACGAGTGATCAATACTCGTGAAGATTGTAATTGTCTCCAACTTAACCGTTATGGTTTTCATGATTGGTCAAAGAGTAACCTACTCCAGTTCAGCACAGCCAAGAGCATGCTGATTCACTTCGGCCGGTGAGCGTGCACAAAATTGGCGAACACATCTTAGAGTAGGCCACTCAGAAGTATGACTTTCGGGCGCTGGTCCAGGACGATCACAACTATACGAAACAATTTAAGATGACGTCGGGAACCGGCAATCAACACGTTAGCCGTCTTCGTAGAGCATTCGGTCGGTGTGATCCAACAATTTTCACATCAACACTTAAAGCCTATGTGTGGCCGTACGTGGAAAATGTCATTCAGGCGTGGCGCTGGTGGTCGAAACAAGAACTTACTGCTCTCGAGAATCCTCAATGAAGGACAACCATAAACGTTAAGGGCCACTTGCATCTGCCTTATCAGCTCAGACTGCATTACATGTATGTACAGCAGTCAATATCGGGGCTTGCGGGGTACTTCCTAGTGGTTTTTCTGATTCAGAATAATCCAAATCAATTTTGCCGTCAGCTGCTGATGCCAAACCTCAACATGAAACTGATGTGTTTAGTTAAAGTTGGCAATACCTTACAGCCGACTAGTTTGCCGTCTAGATCAATTCACCCACAGACTTGACGGCCATAGTTCACTGTCCAAACCTACGTTGCTTTGCTCCCAAACAAAGGATAATTCAAAAGAACTTGACGATGCACTTAACCATTCGAATTACCTTTTATAATGTGTTGGCCAGAGGCTAGGTAATGCAGTCAAATGTTTCGTTCCAATAATTGCAAGCCATGGCTCTATACTTACTACCATGTAACCACCTCGGATCTATTACACATGCATCAATGCGAACAACATAGTGAATCCAGCAAAGCGCTTATCATTTTTTAATCACGTTCACTTCTTTATATTTGTTTTCATCCCATGTGATTTGATGAGCTTTTCATTTTCACCCCTACTAGACCGTTGCTTTCTTGTTTATAAGAGTTTAACATAAGAGACTACAAACGGCTTTTATACTCACTCCGAATGCGGTCTATCTCTTGTTGCTCTAAAATGAAATGAAACCCGCTGCCGTGTGTCGCACATCAAGATGATGAGAGCAGTAAACATCATCACTTCGCAAGTTTTTCTGAAGAGTTCACAATAGCAGATCGATCTCTTTACCAAGCATAATAATGTTTGGAAATACTTTTTTTTTAATTCTCACGAACATGTACATCCAGTTGTGTGTGTGTGTGTGTGTCGATACACGATGTTTGCTCAAGCTAAATACTTTCAACTGCTGGTACAGGTATGCTAAGCCGTTCGTTCCAATGCTGCTTTTGTAGGAATCAAGTGGGCGACGCAGTTTATGATCGATCTGGACCCAAAATCACTTGTGCTACTAGGTCGCAGTTGATGATGCATGTTTTTGTCACCAGCTGGATTTGGCGTAACTCGGTTCTGGATCTCGAAGGGCTCTTGGGGGATATTTACCTTTGATGGCTCCTACCGGGCTTAAACGGCAGCACTGCACTTTATAGAGCGTGTGGCAGCAGTGTGCTTCAGCATACTGTTAGCAATCTCGGTCGAAACATTGTTGTATTTTAAACTGTTATATCAAACCAGGTGATCTATGAAGAACATCCCATCACAAGCATGTACACTGTGTGAAAAAGGAATTTCAGATCGAGTGTATTGCACCGCCGGTCTGGCCTTTGCCCATTATGTCTCTTTTTACAACTAGGTTAATTATAACGGCGACAGAATCTTTCAGGATCTAGAGGGATCAAGCTGAGTAAAAACAGCTTATCGGATTCATCTCAGGAATGTTTGCACGCACGCTTTGGTCTTTCATACTAAGGCGGCATTAAAGATCTAGTACATTGTATGTAGGTGTAAGGTGGGAGAATTGTCTTCATGCTCACTACTGGAACTAAGTTTTAAGTCTACAAAGAATTTTAATAAATAGTTGGGTCTTTGAGGAAAGGCGAGAAATTCGGACTGCTTGACACTGAGTTGATATCACAGAGGTGAGCACAAAATGATCCAACTTCACTGTCATGCTACAATACGGGTTGTGGCAGAACGGATTTAAGTTTGTCCGCGAGTTGCAGCAACTTTTATCTGGTGAATTTTTTCCTTGAGTATGCACTTGTCATACGTGTAAGTACTGACATATTCGGAGATTTACGCTTCTGATATTCTCCTAAAAGTATGAATCACTATTACTTGCCAACAACTGTCTAACGGTAGTCAATTGCACTCATATTATCCCTAACCAGGACTCAGCCATAAGATTTTAAGATTAAAACGATGATATGCGTATCGACAGCAGGCGAATGGATTGTATATCTGCTGTGTTCAATCGCACTGAACGTGCACCGGAAATATGGTTAACTAACGGTACATCGTCTGTAGACATTTAAAATTACTCAAATAGATAATTACTGTCTTTGTGGCCAGTTTCGTCGGAATGTTACTCAGGTATCAACTTTGACAAAGAACAGTTAGACACATGGTGTCTTACAAGAAATATTGTCATCTCTTTTCGTTTGGTCCCCAGGCAATTCATCTGAATGATACGTATGATGGCGAAAATGGGATTTCGTTTAAAATTTGATAGAACATACACTAAACGTTATAATATAGAACCGACGATACTAAAAGAAAAACTCGCAGTTATCATGCTACTCTAAAGTAACCTCTGCTCAATTCTAACACTGGTTTAGTTTCTTCAGAAGATAATGGCAGATGCAAGACCCGATGTTCGTGATCATCAAAAGTAGGTCGAGTGCTTTTAGTATTTTTCGCCTTTCATCTTCTGTCATACGCATTTAGTGACATTTAGATCTCTTGCGATCAGGAGTGAATTTCAATGATTCAGGACAAAGTAAATCAGCATAGAATTCCAGTTGTGTAGTAAGAACAAAAGTTTCAACACGCGCAGAGGAGTTTTCTAGTTTGGTTCGTATCGTCGGTATTTAGGCGGTTACATTCAAATTAGGATTGAGCAACGAAACAGGCAGTTAAATTCTCACATAAATGAACATTTAGTACGGATACCATATAACTCTCTTTGTTGATTGCACAACCCTATATGCACTGTAATAATTGAGGTGCAGTGGACCGGCACGGTAAATAAAATGAATGAAGACTGTAACCTATTTGTCCATTTAAATTGTTATAGAATACAATTTTAGTTCCCATTAATTTCACTAGAATTTTATTATAGCGGAAATCTAGTTCTTGGCAAGCTACATTGAGTAACATACTATCCTTTATTATGGGTCACCTTTTGAGGTTGCTATTAATGAAAATATGAGTAACTTACTTGTCCGCACCCATTGACTGATCATTAATCCTAGCAACCAGAATATCCAGTCCATTCTCACAACGCATCACAGAGTCCCAGCAGTATCGTCTTAGTATTAGCCAATCAGGTTGCAGCAGTCAGCAACCGCTTAACTGTTGTCCACGTTCATTCATCGACGGGGCTGTTTACATCCGAGCGACAAGACCGCGATCCACCTGCATTACGTGCAGAAGATAGGAAAAATATGCTGGTAAAGTAGTTGCTTACTCCTTTATCGCTTGGACTTTTGCGGACGTGTGATTTTCACAGGCACTCAAACTATGTGCAGTGTGCCAGTATATTTTGGTTAGAAAATCAGTCGATGACGAACTAGTCTACTACATAGATTTGATAGAGACCACAGTGGAATTCGTCAGAACTTTTTAATCTATTTTCAGTAGGTATGCAAGTGCATTACCTTAGTGTCAAAGAAAATATCCACATATCGCGGAATTGGCTGTTAGGCTACGCTGTATTAAACTTCCAATCATAACCGGGAGGTCAACGTAAGTACGTAAACTGCGCACACATTTGGCAACGCAAATGAAGCGGTACATTTCACTGCACAACGCTACAAATAGCATAACCACAGTTGGATTATGATAAACTTGGCTACATTTGGGCCAATCTTGGGAGGTGACGAAGTGAAGCTTGCAAGCTATTTAGTACACGCACGCACGGCGAATTGCCACATACTCACTAACGAATATTAAAAGTGCTGGACTCGAAACAGCTGCATTGTGGGAGGGGCCATCCGACATGAGTGCCTAGCATGTAACGGCGCCCCCACCCTAAAATTATAGTCAGTGAGATGGTGATTAAATTGAATATAACGAGTCATAAAAGGCGTCAACTTAGTGAGCGCCAAATTGATTATGGCAGAGGTACAAACAAAATCGTTTCAACATGATGACGGTCTACTTGCATGTAACAATAGCTATAAACGAGTCGAAATGATACTAGCTTGCCTGTTGTAAACCACATCAACACATGGCCAGAGGAGTGTAGAAGTGGGGAGGAAAATATCAAGGGATTTCCTGGAACAGAAGCGGGTCTGTGGGAGATGGTTCCGTAATCATTTACTTGCCGCTTGTTATAACTATATGTAATCCAATCCCCAAATACTCCATTTTAAATAATTTTAAATGATCGAACACTCCCAACACTCCATTGAAACCATTGTAGTACTAAAACAGTTTTCTCCGCTAATCGGTTATCTTGCATAATATGATCCCACCACGCCAACAGTCTATGTATTACAATGTTGACCACTGAATGAACAATGAACAATGATTTATCACGGGCAAAAAAGAATGTTTGACAAATCCCGTAGGACGGTTGGATTAAAAACTAAGATTTAAAGGATCATCGAACACGTACATCATTAGTACAAGCGTCCACAGAGTTAATTGCACTACAGCACAACGATAGTTTGAAGTAAGAGTTGGATGTGCCCCCACAAAATATTACAGAGTATTTATAGTTCAATGAATTTGTGAAAAAGAAAGAAAGAAACGACAACGCTCACACGTATGTTACTTCATTTGAAAAAGTGTATGTTAATCCAGTCTAGATACATCCAGACTAATCACATGGACACTTCTACAAGCATCCTCACCGCCATGCTGCCGAGACGGCCGTTAAGCACATAGTTTGTTTTGCGTTATTTCGTCCTCCGAGTAAAACGGACTATATTAAGTAATGCAACTTGGAATGCGTGTCATCGAGCTGTTTCTGCGATAAAGTTAACGAATGGATAAGGATAACGCGAGTCGAAGTGCATTCCAGGCACACCACACAAGGAGAGAAGACTTTTCGTCGACAATCAAGTCGACTGTAATGCGTAGCCACTTTGAGCTGATGGCCTCACAGCTTGTTATTTTGGTTAAGCTGCAACAGATTGTGACATGGGTGAATTGGTTTCGTCAGTATTACATAAACCGTGATTAAGCCTCGTCGCTGACGTCGATATTCATCCTTGTAAAATCTCAAGGACTGCTATCTGCGCTGCTAGGGGAGATGAAACAATCCTCTGACGAGTTTGGTCCCTCTACGTTGTGGAGCTTCAAGTGCGTCGACGTCGCGCTTGCGCCAGGGAGGCTAGGCCTGGATCGCATAATCAACGTCGGGCCTCACTTAGGCGTTCGGTGGTTTGTGGAAAGGTTGATGGCTCAAATTATCCGAAAGAACTCCACAAGGGTCCAAGATGTGGACTACCACTTTTTGATGCCTTTTCAGCCTGTCTCCAGCCGACAAGATCGTACTGTATGACCATCCCGAGGTCGTTTTCTGGGGAATCACGTTTTAGCTACTGGTCTCTAAATTGGTGTTCATAGATAAGCTGATGACGTATGCTTACGACTTTGCACTTGTCCCCGTTGAACTGGAGACGGTTATCGGATGAACACGCATAAGCCCTGTCGAGATCGCTCTGCAATGCCATGTGCTCATCCGTTATACTGATCTCATACCAAGTTTTGTCATCATTTGCAAATAGTAAGAAATTCGACTGCAGTACATCAGCATGATGGTTATTGAATGGTAGGAATAAACGGAACCCCAGAAAGGCCACAACGGACGTCAATTGGGTCGGAAATAGAGCTGCGGACTATCACATTCAGCTGTACTTGAGCGAGGGAGTTGCTGATCCAATCGAGTATACGGTCACTGATTCCATAGCTTTGAAGCTTGTATAGGAGAAATATACCATTGATTTAATTAATGACGTAATTACGGATTTCAACAAATGTAAAAAGATTAGGGAGTTTTCCGTGGAATAAGTTGAATTCAGTTGCCTTATTTAACAATTTCCGATGGTCATATATCGTTTCTGAAATCGCAACATTTAGCCGGCTGCCGTATCAGAAATATATTCACATTCTTCGTGTTATAAATTGAAATAAATCCATGGCAAAATATGGTATTTAACCATATAACGCTGTAGTAGACAGATCGATGCGAATGAAGCAAGCATTGCATCTCGCAAGTCAATGAACAAGGCGCGTACATTTTTGTGTTTTGCTGTGGGACTGACCAGTGAAGTATGGTGTACGCCGTGCAATACCAGTGCCATATTTTGTTAAAACAGTTGCCATTGAAGCTTGCTACGCGAATTCGATATGGCCAAAACAGCCAATCATATTTTCATAGAGTACAAAGCTTGAGCTCACCTCCAGTTGTATTACGTGTTGTTGCAAGAAGTGCCACTTAGCCTCCCACTATAGCTGGCCTGGGATAGACCCGCATTGGTCACATTATCATGAGTTACAAGTCTCGTGATTCTATGCTTGATTGTCGCGCCTTCTGAAGATATATATATATATATATATATATATATATATATATATATATGGTTAGCGGCATCCGGTTTCGGATTTGCCTGTCACTGTGGCCAGCCACCGGATGCCTGCGCCTACAAAGGGACCATGGGTGGCTTGCGCTACACCATCAACAGCTCCATCCACACACCCTATATCCAGTGTAAATCCGAAGGAATAAGACTGGGAGGCTTGCGGATGGGAGCCACGTTTCATCAACGGAGCTGGCCCACAATCATTCACAGGCAAACATAAGCACACTGTAGTTGGGGAATCAAGTGCACACAAGGCGGTGGCTGAACCGTAGTCCGCTCCACACTGAGTGCATGGAACCGCTCTTCGAGCCTAGCACGACCCCAAGGACTGTGCACCCCTTCCCCTCCAGCAACGACCAACTGTCTCCTGGAGCCAGTACGGACGAGGTAGTGGGTAATAGTCAGGTAGACACCTTGTCAACATGCGCATCAAGCGCAGCCGCACCGGGGATGTCATACAACAGCCATCACTTGAAATAACTGTAACAAATAAAACATATCTGTCAAAGAATACGGCTATGCAGACATAACTCTTCCCTAAAGTAGGTTATGAAGTATGTTGGTTAGCAACAAATCCGCGATAAGTAAAATATGTCCAAAAGTGACTCAGCAAATGCTACAAACACAATAAAGTTAACGAAGATAAGCTCAATTACCGTAAGCAACGTGGAAATTTAATGGAATATTATGCCGCTAGGCAGAACAAATCAAATGAAGTGGAATGAAACTAATCCAGCTTACAAATACCTAGTATAAGTGTAAGTTGGTTTAGTCCAATTGCTGTGCAGAAGCATCATGAATGCAACATCAGCCTCAGCATATATATTTGCGCCTTACAAATTGACAAATAATCAAACAAACTCTGGAAACAAGCTTATGACAGGTAAAATGAACAGTGACTTTATACGGGTTAAAAGTATTGCCTTACGAACCCCCATTTAGTAGTCTACTAGATTAGCGAAAGTCGTTAATGAGAAAGCAATTAGTAGTTCTCCTGTCAACATAATGGACTTATCGTTTTGGATTTACTACCCCTGTAGCCCGAGTGTTTAAATAGCTTCATTAGACAAAAATAACATAAATCCAATTTATTTCCTAATAGCAGAATGGACAGCAGCGTCAAGTTAACAAAATGTAAGTGGAGGCGTGCATCATCCAACCGACTTTGAAATATGGCTAGCGTGGGTGCTGAAGCAACAGATTTGGGGAGCGCGTTTCATGGTTGACACACACGAATGGAAAAGAAGATTATACTGCTCGCCAGACAGCTGTATTGTTCTACTACTTTCTAGGAGTGGCTCCTGTGTTTGGTGATACCGCTGAGTTGCAGTAAAAAGTGGCACGCATGATTTGGATTTTGTACAACCAAATACGTCATAATGAAGTCGCCTCGCAGTCGGCGATACCGCCGGCTGAATACTCCAAAACGTTTCAGCCTCTGCTTGTATGGAAGGTAGCGCATTCCAATGACTTATTTAAAAGCTTGACCTTGAGGTTAGTCCAGTGCAGTAAGGTCGTGTTTCAGCCGTCGCTTCCAAGCTTGGATTTCGTAGTTGACATAGGCACGAACATACCCATTCAGCACCTGTCTGAACATAGTGGTGCCTAGTTGTTCGAAAGGCCGTGGTTGCAAGCCAACGTGCCAGTTAGCA